CCACAGCTTGCATTTTATCACCTGTCAACTGCATTATGGGATTGAAGATGTGCACACACCTACCTGATGCGGTGATATTCGAAGTGCAAACAAATCGAGTATTAGAAAGCTATCATAAATCCAGTGCGTTAAATTTGGTGTTTACGCACCTTGTTGTACACCTCCCTACCGCTCAGTGGATTTGACACACGCGCATTATTTCACATGTTAAGCCTGTAAGTAAATAAATGAACTTTCAACGAATGGTTGGTTCCTTTGAGAAATTCAAGGTCGCTTTTTTCCTCCACTAAAATTTGTGCAATCGTTCACCAATGCAAATTCAGCTGAGTGCTCCCGAATCACATAAGGAGACTTTAAATTCCCTCAGTGCAATCCTCTTGAAAGGCATTGACAAGGGTGCTGCGTGTGCATTTTTTTCGTGGTCGCCAAATTCGAGTAACATGCAGTCACACGATGGGAAATACAATTGAAGTTTTTGTTGCCAACACACCACTCGCTAACATGCGTCTCAATTGATTATATGACTTGGTAAAATGAACAGACAGTCACACCGAAGTAATTTCATGATCTGGCTTTCATTCCACTCTACTTACAGGATGTCTTTAGTGGTTCATACGTGCCATCATTGGTTTGTTAAGATATAGCCTATAATCATAGCCACTTGTAGGACTTAACAAAAATGTAATTGCTCATATGAATTTGTGATTTTGTTGTCCTAATAATTTATTCACCCTACCGTAGCTAACCCTAAACCATGTACCTTTTTAAAATAACATTACCACAACATCTAACTTTGACGTTTGCTTATTTTGATTAATTAACAGCATTTTTAATATTTAAATTCGTAAACTGTTTGAATTGCGAATATTTTGTTAAAATATTAATTAAGACTGGTTTTAATCATCTGAAGACCCAGGCTTAATAGGTTATAAATGAGATCGGATGGCAGGCACGCATTATTGGCTCTTTTCGTTTACAAAAACTCATGATCTTATAATAAACTGAAAACAACTACGAATCTCTGTGATAAAAATCTCTATTATGGTTATCAACACATGATCTTCCTTAGTTGTAACATGAGGTCATATATTCTACTGATATTTTGTCGCTAGATCGTAAGCATGTTTAGTTTTGACACTATTCTGTAATTACATTTACAAAGGACCTTCTGGAATTGTACTTCTACGCAACTTTTTTTCCGACTTATCTATGTGTAGTAAATAGTTCAGGGCAACGTCGTCGAAATCTTAAATTTCATTCGAAAAATCTTCATGTGCTTTTTGAAATGGGGAATAGCACTCTTAAATCGTGTAGAAGTCGTGGATTTTATGTCACATTTCCCCTATTAACTTTAGCTTGGGTAACGTCACGTTAAAAGCTGCTTGGACGATGGAATTACAGCGTGGTTTATCGAAGCTACACGCTCAAATTTGTCTTAGCTTGACGCATAGCTCACCACCAGTGGCTTAACGCGGAATAAGTTCTTCTGATTTATTACCCGGTTTCGAGTTTCAAAATTGTCCACAAAAATGGACGCGTTTTTATCCTCAGTCATATTGCAAATATAGGTTTCTAGATGTGCTGGAACCTAGTCTTCTAATTAACAACCTTCTGGTGCAAAGCATTTGTCACATTGATCACCTCCAATTTCGACCTTTTTCTCTTAGCGTCATGCTTAATAAATAACCGTGAACACGATTCAACAAGTGTTTCACGTAAATTGTTTATGGTATAGGCTACTTGGACGTCAAAAGGTGAATTTACTGAGATTTTGGACATAAACAGCAAATGTAGACCATGTTAAATTGTTCTTTTTTTAAATACTGTACTTCTACCAGATGGGGCAGTAAGTTCAACGATCGCATTACTACGGGGAAAGCACTTTAGCATGCAACTTTTATAATGTAGAGATTTCCTATTTACTGGATGCCCCTAGTTGGCTTCTACGTCCAGCAAGTACTTTATGCTCGAAAAATCGCTCACTTTTCGTATGTACTGCGTCACCTCAATTCGTATATGACCATACATTGCCTAATTGAGTAGTGGTAGAATGGCTTTGGTATCGGCATAATTAAAATTATTGTAATTTATTTGATCGTGAATCAAAATTAGGAAAAAGCAGTCCTTGTGAGTTCAGAAGTTACATTTCACCCTAGATATTATAAGGCAGCAGTAGTTGAGCCGGGCTAAATAATTCAATTGAAAGCTGGGTTATGGAGCAGCCTTCGAAAGCTGAAATGGGTTTCGAGATTGGGTGTACTAAAATCCTGTTATATATCGTCGAGTTATAAACATTGCACGCACGTTTGTATTTCGTGGTTGTGGGATTGAAATACTCTTCAAATAACAATTATTCGTTAATCAGTTTAATATCAATGTGTTTTTACGACCATGGTATCAATGTGTTTTTGTGTTCGAGAATTTCACTACTAGCAGTGTTTATTATTAAACGAATGCAGTTTTGGTTTTACAGTCAAATGCGTAACTATTGCGTTCATTTCCGTTTTTCAAAACTTCACATTAAATTCCGTTGGAACTTAATTGTGGAAGGATGTAGGTGATGACAATTACCCTACCGATTCAATATATTTATATCATAATTTCTGAAGTATATTTATAGTAATCTTCTGCACACTTTTCGCGTTTAGACACATCATAGGGAAAGTTAGTCTCTCCTCTCAGCTACTAAGGAGTTTGGACTAACACTGTTTGGACTCATTTCTGGTCCATTAGGTTTTTTCAATGACCAGGGACACACAAAGCCGGATAGTTTGGTCATTGCTTGCGAAAATGTCTTTGGTCCTAATTACATGGACTTTTTAAAGATAGTTACACTAACTCTTGTAAAAATCCCACTAAAAATAGGTTTGTGGTTTTCCAAATGGTGTATATTCCTGATATCTTTAACCACCCATTCTTGAGTTGGTAGTAATCGAACTTCTCAATCCATTATTAATTTGGGTTTTTCTGAATTTATTTTATATAATACAAATGATAACTCTTGATTTGCTATCTTTCAAACTTAAAATTGTTTATAATTATGATTAAACGGCAACCTCTATGCGTTCAATTAGTGAAGATAGCTCTGTATATTGTCGTTTTTGGTATGACATTTAAAATCTCTTCCACGGTTTTTATAAAGGTAAATGTCAACGCAAAACCGTACTTGTTCTGATTCTGGCACAATTTATGAAATTTTTTGGGTATTTTAAGTGGTTTCAGGGTGTTCGCATTTAACATCTTTTTCTTGAATCTTTGTGGTTAAGTTAGGCGCTCTTCATCATGTTAATGCATAAAACAACATTAAATTTTCGTTTCCAATTTTTCGTTAAGTGGCGCCGACCTTCTCGCCGTAAATGCCGATGGAAATATGCCTTACGACATCTGCGAAGACGACTCCACTCTCGACCTCATCGAAAGCGGAATGGCAAGCCGAGGTAATGTTTTCTGTGTCTGCAATAAAGCCCGTTGGCAATCCCGTCGACAAAGTTTAAATCAAAATGCTCGACTTTTCATTGAATTCGGTTACAATTTCTGGACAAGTTGGTCTTGCTTTTTGGGACGCTTTAACCTTTTTCCACAAAAACATAATGAGGCAAATAACATAGTTTGTTGCTGTGTTTAAATCCAATTGCATTTTCCTGCTTTGGTGAAGTTGCGTGCGATAAAACGTTTTCTGTCCCTAGGAATTCACTAGGAAATCGTCAACACATACGAGGTTTAATTATGTTCGGTTGACCTGTTGCCGATTCAGCAAGGGCATTTTTTACTATGCAGTATTTGAGTTTTTTTTATTAAAATTGTCATTAAGGCATAACTCAGGAGGACATCGACGAGAAGCGGCGTGTGCCTGAGCGCGAAATGCTTGCGGCAATGGAGCGCTTAATTAAGAACTCCGGTGACATAAA